AATAGGCAAGGATATAGTGTTATTGGACAATATTAGAAATAACAAATGAAATGCCAGTATGTGGTCAGGTTTTAAATCCTGGTACATTTTATGATGAAGGATGTTTAAACAATTATAGTCAAATGAAAATGGAGGTATGATGATGGTAATATGTATAAAAATATCTGATTTAAAATACTTGAGTTAATATAAATTTTGTGACGACAGTGGAAGAGACGCACGAAAGCTTTTTGTAACCAACTGATACACTTTCTACAGTATGTAAAGAAGGAGGATTCTTTGTGTTGTGTTTGTTTTGAAAATTTAAAATAAAAATAAACTTTTAATAAAAAAAGATGGATTTTATCGAGTGTTTGAAAGGGACCAAAGTACTAATGGAAGACCTTCCATGGTTCTCCAATGATGGCAGGACATTCTTTCTGGTCTCTGAAGAAAAAGACGTTTCTCCAAATATTTTCTATCTCTAACATTAATGGTAGATAATCAAACACAGCCCCATCAGTGTCATTTTTGGGGTGTAAGATTGAGGGAGCAAACATTTGGAAATTTTGCTTTGGGGAGATAGGTGAAGTTAAGTGCCAAAATGGCTGCTTTAAGTTCTTCAAATGTTTAAGGCAATTATTTCAGTCCTTAAACTCTGAAACTGTTTTCCCAAATATGTCCTAGTCCTGTCCAGTTTTTAAATTGTGGTTGTTGATATACCTGTGCCATGAAAACCTCTTGAAAGGATGATATTTGTGGAACAGTATTGTAGTGGGTCAGAGGACCACATCAACTTGCCAGTTTCCTGGGCTGCTGCTGAGGTCTCTTTCTGCTACTAATTTTTTTAAAAGAAAAATTGCTTTACTGTAATATAGTTATTTTGGTGAATTTTGGCAGTATGTAAGTGTTGTAAAGTGATTTGGCAGTTGTAATTGATGTATTCAACTTGCATGCTGCCTCATAGTCTCCTAAAAACTTATACACACAGACCAACATTAAAAAAAAACTGCAGTTAAAAATGTGTAGCTACAAAAAGATTTTCCATTATTTATTTGTGACATACATTTCTTAATAATTATTTCTAAATATTATTGCACTGAATTCTAGAATCTATAATAATTCTTTAAAATATCTTAATTACATCTCTAATTCAGTCCAGTGATATGCTGTTCCAATCTAATATTACTGCTTTTCATAGAAACATCTCAAAGGAGCAATCAACCAATATACCTTTCTTTTGTAGGTGAGAAGGAAACTGTTACTTACTTCTGTGCACATTTTGAAGAACAATTAAACATTTATAAAAAACAGGTAGGCTTCACCATCTTATAAGATCTAATGGAAACTAATGGTGGTTTTGCAATTTTATACAGTACAGGTAGTCCTCAGCTTACAATTGTTCATTTAACAATGGTTCAAAGTTCCAGTAGTCTCAAAAAAGTGACTTACAACCTGTCTTTCAAGTTACAAATGTCGCACCACCTCGATGCTTACTTGATCATAATTTAGGTGCTTGGCAACTAGCTAGCATTTATGAGAGCTTCAGAGTCTTCCAATCTCATGATTGTGATTTGCGGCTTTCTGAGTTGGCTTCCAATAAGCACAGTCAATTCGGGAAGATGAAGTCACTTAATGATAGTGTGATTAGGGTAATGATAGCACTGATTTGCTTAACAACCTCAGTAAAATTGGTCATGATTTTGGGGAGGCAGGGAATATTGTGGGTCCCATTTCCGAGGGGGATACACCTGGTGGGACCCAGAAGAAGAGCCTTCTCCATGGTGGCTCCCTCTCTCTGGAACATAATTAACCCAGAGATTAGAACGTCTCGCACTCTAATACTCTTCCGGAAGGCACTGAAGGCCTGGTTCTGCCAGCGGGCCTGGGGAACCCAGAGCGGGATGGAGCCCATTAATTTAATGGCTCGTGATCTGCTATTGCCGGGGCAGGGGGTGAGGGGTGATTTTATTATATTATACTATATTAATTAATTTGATTCTTTTTATTAGTTTTATTGTTTTAAATGTGGGTTTATATTCTGTAAGCCTCGTTGAGTCGCCATGGGCGAATAGGCAGCAATATAAATTCAATAAATAAATAATAAATAAGTAAACAAATAAACATATAAATAATAACTCGCTTAATGACCATATCACTTAAGTAACCAAAATTTCAGTCCCAAATGAGGTCATAAGTCATGGACCACCTATACTGTGCTTTAGTATTTTGGAAAAAAAGAAAAGATTTTGGCAATATCTAGTACTTTGTGAATTATAAAAAATTGCTTACCAAGTAATTCTGGGTTGTCTCTAATGGTGGTTTTGTGTTAATGGAAAGCATTTTGACTTATATTTGGTGAGGCAGCTGGGAGTTGCTGAATATTCCCATATCTCCTGCATTTCTGTCCTATCACTGGTCATGTTCCATAGGACTTTTCTGGGGCAAACATTTCTAGAAACTGAAGAGGCAAAAGTTTAATTTCTCATGTTACATAAACAAAAATGTATCCCTTTAAGGCAGTGTTTCTCAACTCTTGTCACTTTAAGATGGATGGACTTCAACTCCCAGAATTCCTCAGTCAGGGTGCATGGGTTCACCCATCTTAAAGCTGCCAAAATTGAGAAACACTAGTTTAGAGTGAAGCATTTAGTGAACATGACTGTCCATTTAGTGCATTTCTTCTGACTGATATAAAATGTGAGATTAAATATAACGATTTTTAAAAAATTGGTGCTTTTAATATTCATTGATTGAATGCTTCTTAGCAGTCATTTAGAAAACAAGCCCTTAAAAATCAAAATAAGAACAGCTTCTCCTGTACTTCGAAGTGGAATTAAGACATGCACATTCATATTTTAAAACATGTTTTTATATTTTCCTATCTTTAAACAGATTATCATTAACCTAGTGGACCAGGCTGGACGAGAAAAAATTATTGGCGATGCTTACCTTAAGCAAGTTTTATTGTATAATAATCCAAGCCTCACATATGTTTCATTTGATTTCCATGAACATTGGTAAGACTAGGAAACAAACGTAACCTAACAAATATTGGAATGTTCAGGCTATTGCTATAGTTGATATTATATGATACATGATAGAAGTTCTTCATAGCTAAGATATGGGGGTTTCCCACGAGAGTTTTCCTGGGTGAAAGGCTTTTGTAAATGTTCCTTAATAAACAATGTATTTTCTTATGTGTGTGCATATATGTATATATTAAAATTAGGGTGTAGCGGTCCATCGTTATTTGGTAGATTGTAAAAAAAGGGGAAAAAACATGGGGATTTTTTTTTTTCAGATTCTGTGTAATAAGCAGAATATTCTTTTAGTACAATAAAAAATTACAGCAAACTGTGTCTTCTTTCTACTTTTTAGCCGTGGAATGAAGTTTGAAAATGTTCAAACCCTTACAGATGCCATTTCTGACATAATCACCGATGTAAAGTGGTGCTGGTAGGTATCCTTTATGGCTTGGATCAGGAATGAGGGGAAGGCTTGGCAAGTACAAGGCAAGATGCATCTCTAAAACAATTTTCATTCAGAGCTTTCTGTTTTAAGATTTAAGATTTAGTTTATTTGTATGCCGCCCTTCTCCGGGAGGGACTCAGGGGGAAAGGGGAACATAAAACACAATACACATAATTTAAAATAAACAAGAATCATACAGCCACACAGGT